ACCGTAATATGTCATTTTCATGCCTTACTATTCTATGACTATGTTATGCCCAACCTTTAAGTCACACAACAAACTCATAACACACCTCCAAAATAATGAAGGGTTTATTCAACATAAACTTACAAAAGGATCAGGACACTAAATTAAGACAACAAAAGATACAGAAAAGACACAAGAGAACACAAGAAAAATCCCAGGCCAAGAGGCAACAAAACCAGCGGCCCCCATGTGGAAAGCCTCTCCCCTTCCCAGCTGGCACCAGAGTTTTTAACCTTTTCTTCCCAGGCCCTTTGGATATCGTGGAGTAATCAGGGTGGGCCTTGGCGAAACTGCAGGAGAGACAGGACAGGGAAAAGACAAAAAGCAGTGGGCGGGAATGCTGCCGTAACAATTACTATACTATGATTTTTTCTTGCCTTACTATACTATGACCTTTTAAAACTTATGATACTATGGTGTTTTTATGACATTTTATACCATATTATGCAGTGAAGTTTTTATGACTATTTATGTCATACTATACTATGACATTTTAAGTCTTACTATACTATGATGTTTTTATGACATTTTATTCCTTTGCTAAATTTGATGTCTTTTATCACATTTTATGCCTTACTATACTGACATTTTTTGGCTTACTATATACATTGGTCACAATGCATCTACATACATACAATTTTTTTTTAAAATTAGATTTGATGGCAAGATCTAAACAACAATAACATTTTGACATTACATACGACACAAAATCCCTGGTGACATTCCTTTGTAGAAAAAAAAGCCTTAGTATCAGCTTTCAAAAGCAGATATCAGTCCAAGCATGGTAGCACATCATGGCTAGAGGCAAGGAGAGGAAAGTAACGTCAGTTCCCGATCTTTCATTACATTGTTATAAACTTTCCTTCCACTGCTGTTTTCCTCTCAGTAGATGTCATCACCTTGCCTCGCCCTCTTCATTCTGCCTGTGAATGCCAAAGACCAGAGGTGTAAAGCTGTGCCCTCTGCTCACCTTCCAAATACTTCATACACCTTCTCATGGTGACATAACTGACCAGGCATTTGTTTTCTCCACATGCTTGGAGACAGTGAGGACAGACTCTGAAACACAAGAATCATAAGATTCATAGAATTCAAAACCATGAAAAAATATAAAATCATAAATCCACCTCGCATGTTTGTCTTTGGCATCAAATTGCTGTAAACTGCATGAATGTAAGATCCTGGTTGTTATGTTAAAACCATAATGTGTTGGCCAGAAACCCACAATGGCTTAGCTAGAAACCTTTTTCCTGTGGAGTGCCAGTCACAGGTCGCTACAAGTCCCTGTTTGCCCTCTCTGTCTGTCTCCCTGTGATGTTCAGATACATTCTTCTCTGACACCTGGAAGCTGAGGGCTCAACACAGGAAGGTAAGAGCCTAAACAAACATGGAAGGTGTCCTACTGGGTCTGTGGTTTACAGTCCACACCCTGCACACTTATGGATTCAGTCAGTTTGCTCTCCATACAAGTCATATTTATTCTTCAATACACTTAAACTACATTTTTTTTATAAAGCAATACACTAAGTCTTACTTTTTATTATAACTATTATTATTATTATTATTATTGTTTAAATATGAAATACTGCAAGAACCTACAGTAAACAAGACTAAATCCATAGACATGCTAATGACAATGCTAACAGGCTGATGTTAAACAGTTGCCTATGAGGGTGGGTTTGAATGTGTGTAGCATATTACATAAATTTGTCTCATAGTCAAACCCCAACAGTTGTTGAAACATTTTACTCAGAACCCCAAATCTCAGGCTCAGGGTTAACTTAGAAGAAATGTCTGAGGATTCATCATCTGGAAACCATGAAAGTCTCAAGCAAATTTTGTGCCAATCTGTCAAGTCTCTTTGACCTGTTGCTTGCCCTGTCAATAATATGGTTCTGCATTACCAGAGGCTGCAGTTTCAGGACTTTCAGGACTACAGTCCTAAGACTGCATTTCTAGGACCCTAGTTTTTCGCTACAGCGCCATCTAGAGATGGTGGTTAGGGACAAGTTGGGTTTCCAGTATGATGGCAGTGCCTAAAAATGCAGTCCTGAAATTCCTGCAGTCCCTAGGTCTGCAGAAACATACTACTCCATCCTGTTGCTCTCTCTGTGACCTGTGTAAATGTTAGCATCTTTACTACTACAACCTAGCGAAATCTAGCATGTCATGACGCCAACACTTCTGAGAAGTAATGTGAGTGTGAACAGACAAAAATATCCTTGATAAAAGATAATATAAAATAAAATAAATTTTGTGTAAACTATCGGTCAGATGAATGTACAGGAGTAAAAAGTACAGTGTTTGCCTGCAAAATCTGGTGGAGTTGAAAGGCAGTGGCTGAAGACATCAACCTCATTTTCAAGAAAGCCATAGCAAAGACAAATTGGACCAACATGAGCGTCTGCCTAAAAGAAATCAGTCATTCATCTGTGACTGTGTACAGATCTATTGCTTTCCCCAGCACCTTCAACAGCCGTGGCCAGAGGCATTGTGTTTTCATGTTGTCCCATTCTCTTGAACACAACCTCCCAGGAACAACAAGGGAATTTCTTCAAATTTGGTTCAAACCTTCGCTTGGATGAAGTGATTAGATTTTGCTGGTCAAACTTCAAAGGTCACTGTGACCTCAGAAAACATGTATTTGACCGTGGTTGTGTCCGAAATCATTCATTTATTACTCCCTACTCCCTATCAAGGGAGTTCTATGTAGAGGACTATATAGTGAGCTCATAGGTAAAATGGAAAAACACTTTTGGTTATTTTGTCTTTCAGCACAAAGCCCATCAAGCACTGAGCACACTGCATTAAGGTATAAATTGCTTGGATAGTGACCATTGGTTGTACATTACTTTTCATGATGCATTATGGGATACTATGAGTCCACACTATAAAGGTTTTGTATATAGTATATATATATATATATATATATATATATATATCGAGTCAGTATAGACTATATAGGGAGTAGTGAGTGTTTTCGGACACAGTTCATAACTCAAGAATTGATGAAATTTTATAACACTCAAAGGTCAACTTCACTGTGACATCATAGTGTTCTGTAAAAAAAAAAAAAAAAAAGTCAGTAGGAGAAACACCTGGAGATGAAGCCAACAAAGCATTAGTCACTGACATTAAGTTACTCTGAAAAGTGTTCAAGTAAAAGATGCTGATGGTTGCTGAAGCAGCTGATCTTCATGACAACTGAATAACCTCAGTTTATGAAACTAATACAACAAAGAAAGTTAACTCAATGTGTGCTCCTCAAATAGATAACGGTACTGTCAAATATTGCCAATAAAACTACATATGTTATATCAAACCAAAACCCATGTGTCCAATTATTCATCTGTTTGTATGTTTGAATTTTGGGTGTCATGCTGAGAAATAAAGACTCCTGAACTAAGTAAATAAAACAAATGAAAAGACTTACCACCATGTCTTTGGTTCAATGTATGGCTGCTGACCTCCACTGACCTAAACCCAGGTGAGATGGTGTTGGATGGGTTGAAAGTCAGAGTGACAGAAAAGCAGCCGACAAGTGCTCAACATATATGAGAACTCCTTCAAGCCTGTTGGAAAACCTTTCCAGGTGACGACCTCATGAATCAGGTGGAGAGAATGAAGAGGGTGCAAAGCTGCCATCAAAGCAAAAGGTTTCTACTTAAGAAAATTAAAAGACTTAACAAAAAACATTTTTCTTTGTTTACACTTTTTTGTTTACTACATAATTCCATATGTGTTATGTCATAGTTTTTATGCCTTCACCAAAACATCTCATACAAGGACACAAACAGAAGTATTATAAGGTTCAAGTACTTGGGTCTGTAACCTGGTATAAAAGCGTACCTGTCCGTGTATTTCATCCTCATTACGCCCTCTTCTTGTTGCCTAACCTGTGGGTTTGGTTGGTTGAGAGCCTGGACAGCAGCTTGTTTGTCTCTTCTCTCTCACACCACACCACAACCCACCACCACCACACCACACCACAACACACACCACACACACAACACAACAACCACCACACCCCCACACACACACACACACACACACACACACACACACACACACACACACACACACACACCTCTCCTCCCCTTTTTAAACTGTGGGCCACATGAAAGCAGTGTACACCCCTCTCTCTCTGTGTCAGCGGTGTGTTATTAGTATCCAGAGACTCCAGAGTGTCTGCTGCACTGTCGCCTCCCACAGCCTCCTTTACACGCACTCTGTGTGTGTGTTCGTGTGTGTGTCTATAATATATAGATGGGTGCAACCTGTATCTGTTGTCTGACTCACCCTGACATACTCACCAGGAAAGCACCGTCAGCACACTATCAACTCCTTTGTGTGTGTGTTTACTGTCTTCACACGCAGATACATGCAGAATATAATACACCAGTAGCTGATTCAAATAGAGACATTTTATTCTGAAAAACAAATGTGTGTTGCGCCACTTTTGATCTACAGTTGACTCCATAAATAAAAAACCTGAGTACAGCATGTTAATACAATATATGCAACTTATTTTTCAGATGTTGAAGCACCAACTAGCACTATCACTTATTATTGATAGTGATTTTTATAGACATTTTATAGGACCGTGTAGTGTCTGTGAGCAGGAATTAAAGGGCCACTTCAGACAATTTCACACGTGAAGATCAGATTACTCGACATGGGGAGTCTTACACAGCTTGTGTAAACAGTTATGTAATGTCTTTGTTAGGCCTGAGAAAATTACCCTGATGATTTCATACTGACATCATTAAGGTTACCTCAGTTTAGGGTCGAATATTATACATTTTTAACAGAAAACATGCATTAAAAAGTAGCGGCATGGAGTGTAAAAGGCATTTTTGTGGACACTTTAAATCCCTGCAGGGACCTTGGACTTTAAAGAAAACATAAAAATAAAGAAAAAATCCATCAAATATGAATTTTTTTTTGGGGGGAGGGGGGGTGGCTGATAGGTTTCTATAATCACTGAGGAGAAGGAGTGGCACAGGCCAAGTAGTTTACGGTGATCACATTGATCACAGATATATCTTTTACTCTTTGATGAGATATTTGAGGATGTCATCTCAAACAAAAGGGGCCTAACAATGCTGCATAACATAATAACAGTTACATCACATTTTGAACGCATGCCTGGTTTGACACACACCTATAAGTTTTTACCAAGATTATCTTTATAAATCAGACGAGTTGGTTCTGCGTCATTGTGCTTCATCCCAAAACTGGTTGAGCCAAACTGCTGCCTGATGATACTTGGAGAAACTCTCGAAGCGACACTGACTAATTATACACAAGTCATCAAATTCACATCACTTGCCCTTGGATCCAATTGGGGTCCATGTGGTCTGACTTTCACACTGACTATAAAACATCAGCTCAGGCTCAGGTGGGAGAGAAGAACTGAGTGTGAACACCTTTGTGCTTGTGGAATCTGCTTTTAAAGGCCCCTCGCACTCCTGTAACAGTGGACAGTTAAAAAATAAAAAAACAGTGCAGTAGAACTCCCCAACACATGCAAACAGACTGATGTGTGAAACCAGTGGAGTTCCCCCCTTACGAAGTCATAATAATTACAGTATCCTGGATTAGTATGTGTACCAAGAACTAAGCTGCAGACTCAGGACACAAAAACACACAAGCAGGAAAAATATGGCAGCCATGTTTGCTCTATTCAACCCTAATCTAGATGACATGAAATTAAAAGTTCAACTGTAAACCCAGGGTTTAACTTGGTTCTATGTGACGTTCGTGCCCATTGTTGTTTTTAATCCCAGCCTCGCCTCAACACTGAGCTCACAGGTTGGAGCTCTTCACTTTCACACACAGTTTTACTTTTGCCTGTCACAGCCATGTGTTGTCGACAAAAAAAAAACAAAACAAAACTTTCACACAAAAAATATATGGACATAAACATTGTTTGGTTGTGTTCTTCAGTCCATGATGTTCATCCTAGTGGAAACTGACTTAATTCAAATTGTGTCAAGAAAAAACCCTCTCATGGTTCATTTGAGTCTCCAGTTGGGCTGATATCGATTTTTTATTTTAAAAGGTTATCAGCCTTTCACTCTTGTCCACCTTTAACTAGCCACATCAAATGGTCCCGTTTTCTAAATTTAAAGCCCGATGTATCTTACAGTTTCCTGTGATGGTGTCTTTAGAATTTCAGTAGTATTCAGTTTTACTGTGAAAATGCTGTGTCAAAGGCCTTTTTCAGAAGGAAGATTTGGTCATATTTAAAATATTAAATATACAAAATATTATCAGTGACTTCAAATACAAATGTCAGTATCAGCCCCAGCACCCTAAGCTCTGTTACAACCTCGATGTTATGAGTTTCTAAAGTTCGGAGATGAGGACAACAGGGTGACTGAGACCAGCACTTTTTTTCAGTCCACTTCTACAGCAGAAAAGCCTGTTTTACAACATGTGTCAGGTTTTACAGTCATGACACGTGTCTGATGACCACTGTCAGGTGTTTCTTGGTCACAACAGCACTTCAATCATCCAAAAAAAAAAAAACCCCGCTGTCAAACTGGTCAGCAGAACATGTTTCAGTAAACGGCTCCCATGCTCTGTGCAGCTGACGGTGCTGTCGATGGCGTATGGTGCGTCGGGCCCCCCGCTGGTAGACCTAAATGTGCACCCTGCTGGTGGTACCAGTTCTGGTGTGTGTACTCCCCCATGTAGGTGGGCGAGGAATCAACTGGAGGCTGATATGAGCCCTGCCCCCTGCTGGTGGGATCCAGCATTGCATTATTCTTGATGCTGCCGCTGCTGTTTGTGTTGCTGCTGCTGGTGGTGTTGTTGCTGGTGTTGTTGCTGGTGTTGTTGCTGTTGTTGCTGTTTTCCCACACAGCTGGTGATGGAGGGGAGTTACAGGCCATGGAGTCGCTAGCGTCCGGACTGTGTTCAAGAGGAATTTCCCCGAGTGGAAACTCTCCGTTCTTGTAGAGCTTCTTAAACTTGGAGCGACGGTTCTGGAACCAAATTTTGACCTGGAAGGAAGAGCGGCAAAAATTTAAAGAAATTACAAAATTTTGTGAAGAAAATGTACATGTGTTTGCTGCTGAAATTTTGAAAAGGTAAATTTTAAATCTAAAGGGTCTTTTTCAGGCAACTTAAAGAAATTACAAAAGGCAAAGTTTTCTGAAGAAAACTTGATATGATTTAAAAGGTTTTAAATGTTGATGTAGCCATGGTCAGACCGGTCCATCAGGAGACCACCAGGAGAAATCCCTCTGAATCAGGGTTGCAAAAAGTCAATGAGGTTTTTACCATCCGTGTCTGTCTCTTTACCAGCCCTGTCTGTGTGCCTCTCATTCAGGGTGCACACACTGTGCAGCGTGCATGTGCCGGGACTCGGCTCATTGGCCAACCACAATATGTTATCAACCCCAACTCCTTTTGGGTCATTTGACACATGGTGAAGCATGACACATAGTGAACACCCACCCCACGTAGCTAACGCCAAAAATTTTATCTAATTCTATGGGAAACACTGACATCAATATCTTTTCAGCCTCTTTTAGCTAATTTTTTTGGTTTCTTTCCTGTAAACAGCACTTTTAGCAACCTTGTTTCCAGCTGCAGCCGGCAGCTGTTTTCCTGCTCTGGTAAATCCACAATACATTACATACTGCATCCAAAACAGCAGAAAAGAACATAGTAGCATTTAGCAGATAAACAATCCAATTTTTTTTTTTCCAGAGTTGGAGTTTTCAAAAAACAGGGCAACAAAAGAAGTGTTTATTAGACAAACATTCATCATGCGGCCAGAAACACTGCTCCAAAGGTACAATATTTTATCTAACTGATGTAACTACTGAACCACTGTTGCCAACAACATTATCTCAGCAGTATTTACCTTTGATACAGAGGTCAAGAATTAGTCGAGAATTAGCAAAAGCAATTATAATATTTGTTTCATACCCGGTTTTGAAACTATATTAATTGCACTAAACTAAACGGTTACTGGGCAGCAGTAGCATTATCACAGACTATTTAGAGCTTCTTGAAATATAATACAACAAGAGCTATTGTGATATTGTTATTTTTACAAACAGTTCATTGAAGCATCAAAACCAAATTACATGACAATCACACTTCAAGCTGACTGGCATTGTGCTTTTGAGATTTTGCTTTGTTAAAGCTTGGGCATGTTACCCAAGCATAACACTGAACAATGATTTACAGTAGCTACGATAAAACAACTCGCTCAGCAGGTTTCGTCTTTTATCACTTGAGCCAAGATAATTCATGTGGTAAATCATAAGGGCAGGAAGCATGACTGTGTAAACCAGACTGACTCACACACAGCGCTGTCGAGGATCATGGAAGACTCTGGCTAATGTGTTTCTATTGAACTATTCTGTGCTATTCTTATTTCATTTTGTTAAATTTAGTGGAGCCTGGTTTGGTACTGCACTGTATGGTATTGTATTCCGTTATATCTGATGAATTATATTTTAGTATAACCTATAATCTAAGATAACATTACACCCATCTGAGGACCTATTCAGCTTCTCTCCAACCTCTTCGTACTCGTTCATACTTTCACTAAGAGGCTTCATTCTAACTTTACACCAGCCACCACCCTTTCAGCTTCTTCATATCACTTCAGCTTCTTCAGGCCTTTCAAGCTTTTCATTGTTTCATGCTCTTTATAGACTTATTTTTGCGTTGGTGTGCATTGTGTTCAAACCTCAAGCACATAACATCTACGTTTCAACTTCTGACACATCAACTGGCACTTCAACCAATTTTTAATTTTCAACTGGCAGCTCAAATTCTCCAGCTGACATTTAAATTGCTGCCAGTCTTTACATTTTATCTGTCACTTCAATCTTTGACAGTGCACCTGAACTATCTGTGGCTTCAACTTTCAATTGCTTTCATCATTTACAGTTGCTTTCATCTTCCCCTAATTAAACTGACAGTTCAACCTGCTTAACCTCAAACTGCAATCCCATTCGACATCTCACATGTAAAATATCTTGACATTTTAATCCGTTTACAGTGTTTACACCTGTGGTTTAAAGTAGCCTACTCTAATTATCACTGCATTGTATTATATTTCTGTCACTGTAGTGCATTGTACTGGATGGTGTTCCCTGAAGCCTCACCTGTGTCTGTGTGAGGCCCAGCTGTGCAGCCAGCTCAGCCCGCTCCGGCAGGGCCAGGTACTGGGCCGACTGGAATCTCCTCTGCAGGACTGCCAGCTGGTAGCTGGAGTAGATGGTCCGGGGCTTGCGCACCTTCTTGGGCTTCCCGTTGACCATCCGGACCTCCATGTCTGGTTCTTCTTTCACTGCAAGGGATGACAGTAAAAAACAGTTTTGGGTGTTTGTGGAACTTTAAAGTCAAAACTTTGTACTTCATGACAAAATGCAACACAGCATCTATGAATGAAAACTATCTCTATGAAAAACAATGATGGTATTTTTCTTCAAACAATGACATGAACTTGTGTTGGGTCTCACATTCTGTGCAGAGAAGTTGTAGCACAAAAATAGCCATGGCCGCTATAACCCCGAAATTTCAAAGAAATTCCGCCAGCACTCTGAACTTATAATTTTGGTCTGAGTGTCTCCCACAGCCGGGGAGGGAGACAGAGATTTATAGGTGCTTTTCATGTAGCCTGGAGGCCCGCTTGTATACATCCTCCCCAGTTTATGCTGTTTTTCTTCTATCCAATATATACATATATATACAATATTTTTGATATTTTCCTTTAAAGATACAGCCAATCTTATTTGTTTACATTTTGATCAGCATATATATTATATATTGCCCTAAATTGGAAATGACACATTAATAAAAAAAACTAAAAAACATAAAGTGTTTGTACAGTTTGTGTGGGAAATATATTTCAGTATTGTAATATTTCATATGTTTGAGCATTTATATCATTTATATATCATTTATATTATTCACTGAGCTGATTTAACCAGTGTAACTTAATACTCAGTACATTTAAATTGGACTATGCTTGGACAAAAATAAAAAATAAAATAAAATATTCAGTATTTAATTAGGTTATAGGCTTTGAAACAACCTTCCTGTTATGAGAAACAACAACATTAGCAACAGTTAATTTAAATAAAATATTAAAAATCCAAATGAATGAAAAATATGTAGGCCTATATAAATAAATAAATAAATAAAGATCTTTTATTGAGTGTTAGGTCCATTTTATGAGAGGTTGGGGAACTCTGGGAAACACTGGACTCATAAACTCAGTATTTCTAAAAGTCCTGCTATGGCTCTGTCCCCATTTATTTCTGTAGTTGAATTTAGACATTTATTTAGCTTCATTCATTTGAAATTTAGCCAATTATCTTGTTTGGCTCATGTCTCTTTTCCTGTTTGTGCATTTCTAAATAGGCCTACTTCTAAAAAAAAACAACCTGTTGATGTATTTGTTTATTGATTTATTTGTCAGGGCGTGGCCACAGGCCTTGCGTGATAAGGAGTCGTCCTTGCTGGATGATTCAAAGGCAAAGGCTGACTGACATGTCGTGACACCTGATGTGCGTGGCTGTCGGCCAAAGTCCCCTGAAGCCATTTGCAGGAGTCAACTCCCAACTGGAATGTCAAAAACAGTACACCAGTCTGTCGAGTTTGTTTTTCCTCTGCAGTTTGCTCAGAGACACTTGAAAAAAGCCAAAAGGAAAAATCTTTTGAACAAAGTTTATATTCTTATTATACTATTACAGCAACTGTGTATTGAGTTTAGATTGGTGTTAATTAATATTCTTATGATATTCACTGAAGGAATTTCAAGTTTTTATCCATTTTCATCAAATTGGAAAATGAGGTTATTTATGTTTAAATGACCTATTTAGTGCATTTGTGTGTAAATGAATTAGTTCTTCATTCCTAATGAAGGTAAAGTTGAAGAATTCCTGACTAGAATGAGGATGTGGCTTCCATCCAAAGGCCTTTAGGCTCATCTCCGCTTTCCTATCAAAGTAAAATCTCAAACCAATTCAAAGACAAGCTGATAAACAGGATATCTCACAGTCAGTTTCCATTTACACTGAATAACAATGTAAAACAGAATAAATTTAATGGTCTTTTCTTTCAATCTACTGATCTCCTGTTTCTTTGACTGAACAATTGCCATTAAATCCCTTTGGTATTTATAGAATTTATAGAAATTCAGCTGTAATCTGTGATATCCCCGGCATGTGAAACCAGAAGCTGCTGCACTGAAAGTCAAACATCAAGTTGAGTTGATGAGTAAGTTCCTCTTCCAGTCAAGAAAAACTCTGATTCAGTTTCTGACCTTTTAGCAGGAGCAGATTGTAAACCTCACCCTGATTCAAGACGTCCATCAAACAGCCCATATTTTTATTATTACAGAGTTACTGTTCAAAGTAACAAATCTTCAACCATGAACACTGCTGTTCCTGAGCAAGTTAAATATTTAAAATATCTATAAATTCTGGTGAATGCTACTTCTGGGGCTGCACTTTAACATAGGTGAATTATGAATAACAAAAATACATTTGGTAGAAATATTACCGTCATTACTTCAAAAATGACTCAAGTGTGTGTCCCAGGTCTCTCCTTCTTATACTTGACAAAAATACTGTAAGAAACTTAAGTTCTCCTCCCCTACATTCATCTTCTCATGATGGAAAGTCAGATGTTCAAGAGAAGAAAGTGTCAACTAAATGCTCCAAAATATGTATGAAATGTGGAAAACTGGGAAATAAAAAGAGTTTCATTTCCCTGGTAAGTAAAACTCATTATTTAATTATTGATTTTTACAGTTTCAGAGCAATGGTCATACATCAGCCTCAGGTGATGCAGCTTTTCTCGCTCCTGGACAAAGATGGAGAAGATCTTACACAGAGCTACTTACAGAGGAGAAAACCTGTTTGGTTTGGAGACCTTCAGTTAATGTCTTCAATAAACTAATATCCAGCCAATAATAAATGAGTTATATTGATCCCCATGAAACATTTATGCAATGAAGTTGCATGTGTCTGAGTTTTCTTGTTGGGTTTAACTTACCAGTGTCCTGCATCGCTGCCTGCACCTCCCTGCTGAAGGCACCGTGCTCTCTGTACGTTGCATGAGGGTACGGGTATTCTGCTTTGCCCACTGGGTACGCGCCGCCGGGACCCATCCCGTTCAGGTTATAGTGGTGGTATGCGTACGGGTTCATGTGCTGAGCTGAGTACGGCTGCTGTGCCTGGTAGAAATCCTGCGAACCGTGGAGCGCGCTCTGGCCGCTGTAGAAGCCCATGTCTGTGGATGAGGACTCGGGCAGGGTCGGGGAATCCTTGGTGGCCGAGATGGAGCTCCCAGCCACGGGGAGCGAAGGTTTCTTCTCCTCGAAGACAGGTGAGGGCTGCCCGTTCATTCTCAGGAGTTTTTCCTCTAGTGTTTGCTCTAAACTGGAAACCGGGAGTGTTCAGAAATCCACACGCAGTCTGGAGTTGGCGTTCCCAAACTCCCTTGACGCAGCAGCCAGGCTGTCCACCGTGGCGGCGCCCAACCCAACTAGAGCTCCTAATTACAGGGCGCGCCGAGCTGAGCCAAGCCGGGCAGGACTGAGGGGAGTGGATGTCTCCTTCTCATTGGTTCGCCTGCTCGCTCCCTGCCTCTGCCCTGAGGCCAAGACAGCGCTGACTGTCGCCTGTCTGGCTCCCTCTTCTCCCCACAGAAACCTCCAGTAAGCCTCTCCTCGGGCCTGCACCGGAGCGCATAAACAGTTGGCAAGCCCGTAAAGTCCTCTAACTAACATTTACTTGGACGCATCTTGGAGACTTAACAACATCCGAGACTCTCAACAGACTAAAGATTTACCAACCGAGCCATGCATAATGGTGTTGTGATAAGCAGTGTTTACGCATAAGCTTTACACTGCTGCCTCCCATTCAAATGCAGATGCGGAGCCAAGTGCTGCTGTCGACCCATGTTGCGAGTTATTTACAGTTAATTAAGGCTTATTTCAGGAAAGGCTTGTCCCTCAATACGTGTGTAGACTCGGGCCCCGGGCTTCTCCCATGCCTCAGGGAGGAGAAACAGCGCACAGTAAATCTACAATAAACTTCAGGTGTATAAAACTGTGGGGAAACACAGTGGTGATAAACAAAGAGTCAAACTTCAGTACAGCACCTCACTGTAAAGTTAAATCTGGCTGCACGTGCCCTACATGTGTTATGAAATCATTTGCTCTGCAGTTTTCAGTTTCTGTTTGGAAGAGAAAAGCTTTTCTTGTTTTCAAACTACAGGTCCCATGAACTGCAACAGAAAATACAGGTGGTGAGATTTCCATCTCCCTCAAAGGTGAGTGACATAATCTGACCGCCAGATGTCACTATGGACACTCCTGGAAACCTGTGACTGTCCATGTCAACCGCACACTGTCACTGTTGAGTCTTCTCTGTTTGCTGTAGGCTTGGGCAGTATCCAAAATTTAATATCTCGATAAAATCCAACCTAAGTTTAGTAATTATTTTGTTGTAATGTAATTGTGTCGTTGTATTTTATGTTTCCGGTGGTTTTTGTTGTTGTTGTAATATATCATTATATTACTGTATTTTATGTTTCATATTTAAGCGATGCTGCCACTAAGCATGAGCTTAAAGTTTTATGTCACATGCCAGGGTTCAATGTACAGGAAGCAAAGCAGTGAAATGTCACAAAACTGCCAAAGAATAAATGTAGCCTATATTTTTTCATTATGAAAAATATTGTATATGGCGGGAAATACAGGAATATTCAATATTATCAAAAATAAGCCCAAGCCTAATTACTACCCAGTTTTTATGCATTCTCTAATTGCAATTATCCAATATGCAGATTTTATAAAAATCTAATTTTTACTTTTTTTTTTTTTTTTTTTTTTTTTTTTTTTTTTTTTTTTTTAAATGAGTTTAGCTACTATTCAGGGATATGCAAAAAAAAAGAAAAAAAGATCACGATTATTTTGGCAGAAGTTAGTCACGATTTCAATTTTTGCATTTCATTTTCACTGGAAAAAAAACTTTTAAATGTTGGAGATGTGATTTTTGTTGAGTCTTCAACCAAACAAGCATGCACAACAATAATGTGACACATTTTACCTTTATCAAAAAAATTGCAGCTTGTGCAATTTGGAAATTGTGCTTGGCCATATTGCCACTTTGATATTTCGATCGTGCCGCCCTACCTACTGAACAGTCTTTACGTGCCCACTGCACAAGTGCCCCTGGTTTGTAAACACTGGTCTATAGTTTGCAACCTCTGCAACTGAGTACAAGAGAAATTAAACACATTTTAACCATATCGCTTCATGGAAAATATGAAATCTCTTATGATATGAGGCACAAAACTGTAACTCACTTTCATTTCCAGGATCCTAAAATCACACAGGTTACAGGTTTAATTTTTTTTTTTATTAGCATGTCTTTCTCTATGTCATATATGGTAAACCCTCGAGTCCTTGCAAAATTAAGTTCCCAGAAATGTACAGCTTGATTTTCTTCAGCGAAACCCGCCCTTATACACACGTCAGAACAAAGAGTTCTCTCTCCAGTCACGTCTCAAGCATCGAAAGCACTTTGTGTGACTGACCAAGCTCTCAGTGGCAAGGTTTATTCTGTTCTTATGCATTACAAAAAAAGGGGACAGTGTGAATACATCAGGCCTTGGATGATGCTTGGCAACTGTTATATACAAATAGGAAGTGGGAGGAAGAAGGGGGGGGTTATGGGAGACCCCCGTGTGTTAATGAATGTCCTCCTCTCATTGTGGCATGGTCCCGAGTGGACAGAAGAGCAAATTCCCTGTATGGTCCACGAATCCCAGAATGCCTTGTGACTTGAGTGAGACCACTCAGGGTGAAACAGGTGAGAGGGGAGGATGGGAGGGGAGGGGGGCAAAGGTCACAGTACAGGTGTGAGGAGAAGGGAGGGGTTGTTCTGATGGCCGGCATTTTCAAAACCAGTCTTCAGGTGACCGAAGTGACCGAGGGTTGATTCTTAACAACCGCAGAGAATCACAGAAATTCAAACATTCACTTTTAGGGCTGGTTGGCAAACTGAACAGAACAGGTAGTATCCGGTGAGGGACAGACCAACCAACCCACCACTGCCCCAGGTTACACTGAGAACAGACCGAGCATGTGTTTTTTGTTTGTTTTTTTTTTACAATATATGTATGTATAAGTACTGTATAGGTATTCTTTATCGTTATTTTACAAGATTCCCTGATGGCCAGTGCAGAGAGAAACAGAGGAGAAAAAAAGGGGGAAAGGGAGGCTTGTCCAGTTTTACATACAGTAGAAACCAGTGGTGGGAGAAGAGAAGATGGGCGCAGTGCCTGGATTTGTCCATAGGGAGGAGCACTTTGTGTCAGATCAACCCCAGTCAGATTGGAAGGAAGAGAGAGTGACAGGAGGGAGGGAGAGCAGAGGGCTGAGGGAGGACCAGGAGGAGCTGCGTGTCCACCCTGTCAGTTTGTTATTCCGTTGGGTCGTCGTCAGTTGGTCAGCTGGTTTCTTTGCTTGCTGGATTGTTGAGTGTTCGTAATCTCCTCGTCCTCCTCCCCTCGTCCCTCCCGGGTTGAAGTGAGCTATCGACGGAGGTCTGACTGGCCCACGTCACTCCGGACAGGAGGACAGATGGTTTCACTCTCTCTGCGGGGAAAGACAGAGACGGGTTGAAGACAATGAACTCTTGAGATTTGAGATCTGAGTTAATTTTACGAATTTAAATCTGGTGTTACTTTATCTTCACTTTGTCACAAAAGCCCATTTTTATAGGAATACTTCTACATTTTAAAAATACGCATCTGTTTTCTTGAGTCAGATGAGTGGATAGATACCATTCTCATATCTGTACAATAAACACAAAGCAGCTCATAACATTCAGAGGTGGATTTTGTACCTGGCCGATTGTTTCCTCCTGTTTGCAGTCTTTGGACCAAGCCAGCCAGCTGGTGGCTGTAGACGTACAATTACCGTACAGACATGAAAGTGGAATCGATCTTCTCAGTTTTATTTTTGAAAAAGCTCAGTAATTTATGAAGTGCTGCTTGAACAGGAGTAAATAGTGAATTTGTTGGGGGACTACTTTCAGCTGTGGATTAATACACATTTGGCAAATTAGTGAGTGTACTATATATGGCAACAGCAATGTGGCCACAACTGACTATTTTCTTTAATGATTGGTGGCTCTCCAACTGCACAGCTTTGGGGGGGGGGGGCATGACAAAAAAAGTTTAAGAACCAGTGGAACTATTATCACATTTTTATATGAACTGACACAGAGGGAAAAGATGTACAATCAATACTTTGTAGTAAAATCAATTCATTGTTGGTTTTGCTTCCACGTGTCGTTTGAAACAGCTTCACAACAAAAACCAGTTGAATCAGTGAGTAAATAAGTCATCATCCTACTGATCCATCAAAGCAGTGATATGGAGAGCAAAGAAAATTAAAAGTTGTCACCTCACTATGTAATCCAAAACACAATTACTGTTTTCATCTCTGCACAAGACAGCTGTAACGGACCAAATGTCATCTCAGCCTCAGAAGTTATTTTCAGGGATTTTTTGAATGAACACACAGACACCAACGTTTCCATGTCTATTCGGGCTGACCTTATGTGAGCTTCTTGGCTTTGTTGTAGAGCGAGTCCACCACTTTGCTCATGTTCTGAATGGTCTCCAGGGCCGCCTCGTACGTCTTGTCCACCACTGGCTCATCGAAGACGATCAGCACTCCTTCTCCTTGGTCCAAAATACCTGTGAGGTTGGACGGTGTGGGACGACAAGGAAGGGAAACCGAGAGAGAGAAAATGGAAGAATGCTGTTAGAGGGTTTTCGATGGAAAACACACCCTCTCAGTCTGTTTAGTTCATTTCAGAGGGTGAGAACAAAGGATTTTCAACCCTAATGCAACCGCATGAACTGAAACTTAATTTAGCTCGAGTGTAAATCTGATCCATCTGTAGGAGACAACCACAAAACACTAATATTTACAACAACCAAACACTAATATTTAGCCATCTCTTCGGTTTTCACATGTGAAGAAAAGCCAGCGTGTTTACTACATGTTCACTAAAACAACTGTAGATGCGTACCGTGAAACTTCTTATCCAGAATCATCTGTGATAATTTCCTCTCCACGTCTCCCTGCAAGGCAACACAACTAGACTGTAGTGAAAACAGGCAACTTGTGTATGAAGAAGATGAAGGTCTAAAAGGAAACACTGAACAAAAAGGGCAAAATCTTACCTTAGAAAGTTTGATGAGGGAGGAAATGTGTGCTATCTGTTAGGAGAGAAGACGGACAAACACAATGATTAAAGACTGACAAGTATTCTTAGTACTTATTCTAATATTTACTGAGTATACTTTGTCTTCATGAACCTTCCCAATATCCTGGGTACGGTTCTGCACCTGTGTGAACTAACTGTGGCTGAACACGGACAGGTGTGTGGGGGATTACCTGGACCCTGGAGAAAGGTTCGATGACCCTGATGAGGTTCTGCTCCA